AGAAACACTTCACTAGAGGTCTTTGCAAAAAGGTTCAAAACAGCTCTGCTAAGGCATAGCAATAGCATTTAGGCTTATACACCACCCCATAGTGCTTTAAGAGCACTCTCTGGGAGGTTTATTATATAATGATTATTTGCATAATTGCCCCCACTAATCTGGATCTTCCTTTTACCAATCTGACTGCCAGCTGATTGCAATTTGTCAGTTTGAATCTCACCAGGCTCAAAGTTGACTCAGCCTTCCATCCTTCCGAGGTTGGTAAAACGAGGACCCAGATTGTTGGGGGCAATAGGCTGACTCTGTAAACCACTTAGAGAGGGCTATGAAGTATTGTGAAGCACTATATAAATCTAAGTGTTATTACTGTTATGGAATGCTGGGATTCATGATTCCCGTGGGAGTGAAATTTGGAGAAGTTGTAGCCTCCACACCTTCCAACTACTTCCTAGAAAACCATAGATAGTAAGGTGCAAGGGCCTATTCCTGCCCTCTTTCTCACCTCCCTCAGGCCCCTACATCTAATCTAGCTTACAGGCTAGAGGCCATTGGCTGCTTTGCAATCGACTCTGAAGTTTGAAAAATCTTAATAGTGATGGCTGCTGAGAGAGAGTCAAGGGAGGACTTGATGCCTGCTGGTGAAGGGGGGCTAGTGAGATGGGATTGGCTAGGGGTCTCCAGCAGTCAACAGATGAGTTTTCTTCCTACCTGGAAGAAGGGGGCCATTGGAACATGCTGAAATGGGGAGTGGGCCAGGATACAATTCTCCTTACAGCCTGTGGCTCCCTTTGTAATATTTTTATGGAGGGAAGTTGAGTCTGTTTTATTTAAAAATGAAAGAGCTAAATTTTATGGCAGAATCTGTGAATTGGCATTTTGTGTGCATGTGTAGAAATAAGAATCCATGGGTCGATGAAACTGAATTATCAAGGACTGAGATTGCCTAAGGAAAGAGCATGAAATAAACAAAGAACTACTTACCATAACTTTTTCCATCATGTTGTCATTGTCTGTCTACAAGGGGGAAAAAAAGGGTATCCATTTCAACCCCCTTTGGAAAACTTAATAGGATATGATCTTGTTGCAAAGCTACCAATAGAATTACAAAGCTCTACTAAAATTTCAAAAGAAGCAATGAACGCAGTAATATCTGCCATAACTGAAAAAATGATGAATTAGAATTAGAATGTGTCAAAGGTGACCTGCCACAACATTTTGGATGACACACCAGAGTTCACCAACATCAGATAACAACTTTTGTCAAAAGCACGTCTGATTCTCGCAGGATTTTTGGAGGCAGTGGTGGCCACAGAAGAATGGGGTGTGCTTCCACATGGCCTTCAGACTGACCAGAAACTACATAAGAGAGTCATGCATTCCCATAGTCTCCAGTGCCTCAAAAAATCACATGAGAACAGGGAAAGTTTTCCAGTAGTTTTTGGAGGCTGCAGAGGCTAAGAAAGAGCATTCTTCAAGCAGGCCTTGTACATCCTGGAGCAGCCTCAGGTAGCCTTGGGGAAAGGCATGAAGTGGTTTGCGGGGACGGCAATGGTTCCAGGCCTCTACTTCAGGTGAGCCTCTGGGCTGCCTCCAAGTGCCGTTATTCATGGTAGCCCAGGTGCATTAGTGTGAGCAGGGGAGATACAGAATTGTTTCTCTTTTGTTCAGGACAGGGAGTGACATGCCAGCAGAATCAAGGCAGGCATTTTCTAAATTTTTGACAGGCCCAGCCATCACAAAAGTGCTCTTTCCTCATCCAAAAAGAAAAGTAAAACTAAATAAACATGGAGGGGCCCAGTGATGAGAGGAAAAAAAGTCATCAAGACTTTACTGTTATTCTATTATTATTATTATTATTATTATTATTATTATTATTATT